CTAGGTAAATGATCATTTACATATAGCACTGTGGGTAACCCGACTGTATCTCATTCACCTTTGTTCTTGTTTTTCCTTTTTATTTTTTACAATAATAATAATTTATACAATATAATTGATACCAAATGTATACTGTATATGGAATGTAATAATGTATTCATATACTGTACATACAGAAATTAACTAATTAATCAAAATGTATTTTTAATAATAATTACAACAACAACAGGCCAGTTTAAATTGGATTTATACTGCATTAATTATCACAATCCCTTTTCTTTTTTTATAATAGTAATTTAAAAATGTATAATTTAGCTTACTAATTTATACAACGGTTTAAAATGTAAAATGTATACAACATTTTATACAAATGTTTAAAAATATATGAATTGTGTTGGCACCAATAGCCTTGTGGGCAACGTGCCGACGTATTACGCCATTATGCTACAGGCGGCCCGAGTTGGAATCCCTTCCCGATCCCGCCCCCCTCCCTCTCTCCCACTTTGCTTCCTCTACACTGGCCTATCATAATAAAGTCAAAAATAAATCTTATATATATATATATATATACAAATTCTGTATATGCTGAAATTAACATTAACAAAGCTTATTAAATGATGTAAACGTATTGTCCATACAGTGATACCTAATGCTTTAGCTAATGTTAACGAATTACACCTAAATGTAAAATGTTAACAGAAATTCTATTAATATTTACCCTCATTTTGTTCCAATAGACAATGACAACACCAATCAGTCACCATTTACTTCCAATCAGTTACCATTCAAAAAAAGATGGAATAAAAGTGCATCGTTTCAAGTCTGGGTGAACTATCCCTTTAAGTGTCCTTGGTGAATAATTTGTTGATTTATGTATGTCTGCTGAATGACAATAAAATTAACCTCGACTTTTCTGTCCATTCCAGGCATCTATATTGCTGTAAAGACATTGTCCTCCGTAGGAGCACGTCTGGCAGTCTGGGTTTCAGTATTGTGGGTGGACAAGAAGAACTCAACTGTAACCAGTCCTTCTTTATCCGCTCTATCGTAGAGGGCACACCGGCCTACAACGACGGCAGGATACGGTACAGACACCTGGAATACGTAGAATCTACTATTGTCGGAAACTATGCTTTATGTAGAACACCTATAAATAAACTGCCTAGCACAGTTTATTAAATACAGCTTTTTTGTATTTACCCTCATTCTTGTCATGACTCCAACATACTAAAACTTCATCCCTTTTGTTTTTTTCCCATTAGCTGTGGAGACATCCTGCTGGAGGTGAACGGGAAGAGCACTTGGGGAATGACACACACGGCTCTAGTCCACCTGCTCAAGGAGCTGAGGGGTCGGATCACTCTCACCATCGTTTCTTGGCCTGGAAGCCTGCTATAGGACTACTCTGCATGTGGGAGGGGCTTATCACATTGACCCTGCACTAGGGGATAAATAAAATGGTGGATTTGAGAATCCGAGACTTCCTTGAAATGTGGGGCTTATGATACGGACTGCCCTTCAGGAGCAGGAAATGACACATGGACCTCATTCAGGTAATCGGAGCTCAGACTCTAAACTTGAAGGCGGAGCTAATGACATGATTCCGCCCACGAGGAAGCACGTTTATCACACGCCAAAACCAGGAGGAGCTTTCACAATTGCCCTTTTGTCAAGGCATAAAGATGATATGTGTGCATGAGAGGAACATTGTGTCATTACTGATGGAAGGCTGAGCTTTTAATCTGTATTAAAGGACCTGGGAGGGTCTAAAAACACAATTTCAGGATGCAACGAGGAGCGCGTCAGTCAATAAATGAGTCGGAAATAGATGTATAAACATTATGGGCACTGTGCTATATGTAGTCCGATTGTGTGACTCTATTGTTGTTCGTAGAGGACGTTGAGATGCTGCACATAAGAGGGATTTCCTTAGAACGAGAGGTGAAAGGGATACTGGGATGTGTTGGGGGACACACGTTGCCAATTCCATTAGTTTTACATGTTAGAAAATGCATCGAAGTGGACGCACATTCTTTACTATAAACGTCAATGTCTGAAAAAATAACTAAATGGATTCAAGCACTTGTACTATGACTAATATTAATTTTGTTTTATTTCTCTCTGTTCCTATGGCTTTCGGATATTGGCTTCATTTTGTTCGTTCTGACAGTGGTTCGTTCTCTCCATCCGCTGGCATGGAGACACATTTGCCAAGTAGTTCTATCTATGTTGGTATGTTTCAGATGCTGTCGCATATGAAAATGAACTATAGTGAGTAATAAAAAAGAATAGCAACTGAAAAAAAGAAAAGCAATGTTAATAATCTATTTTAAAAATGGATGATAACTTATAATGCTTATAATGATAACGTGAGATTTTGGCGGCCTTGCTGACTTTTTTTTTTTGTTTACTTTGGAGGTGAAAGGATAGGACAGAGTGGCGTGTGAAAAGCTCACTGTGTGAGTGTGTGTGTGTGTGTGTAGGTATCATTGTGGGGTAAGGTGCGTGCTCTGGCATCTCATGCTTTGGCTTGTGCAGTATATTGTATCTGTTGGTACCTTTCGTTCAATGATCAATAAAGTCATTCTACAAGGAGATGTGTGTTACTGTCTCGTGTTCTTATTGTGTGTGTGTGTGTGTATATATATATATATATATATATATACACACAAAAACACACGCTACCATTCATTTTTGGGTCGGCAGGATTTTTGTTTTGAAAGAGGTTCACAGAGGCTGTTGTTTGTAATAACATCTAACCATATTATTGTATTTTGTGTTTTAAGGAACTTTCTATTTGAATAGATTTTAAAATGTCATTTATTTTTGTGATTGCAAAGCTGAATTTTCAACATCCATTACTCCAGTCTTCAGTATCACATGATCCTTCAGAAATCCTTCTGATATGCTGATTTGGTGCTCAAGCTTTCTGATTATTATAATTATATGATATATGTTGAAAACATTTGTGCTGCATAATATTGTTGAGAAAGGCTTTTTTTCAGGATACTTTGATGAATAGAAAGTTCAAAACAACAGCATTTATTTGAAATATAAATATTTTTTAAGATTATAAATGTCTTTACTGTCAGTTTTGAAGACTTTAATGCATCTTTGCTGAATAAATGTATTAATTTCTTCTTTCCCCACACTAAATCATGGTTCACACACATTTACATTTCTTGATCATGTTTATAATGATTTTGCTTCAACAAAATTAACATTTGGCACAACAAAAATACCATTTTGTATTACCAAAACAAAGTAATTTTAAATAATGAATAAATAAATTTCTAAATTAAAAATAGTGTACTCTTTTGACCACATTTTACTTTTTTAAATCATATTTTCAAAAAATGAAATGTTAAATTGCTAAAACGGTACCATAAATTGGCTTATCAAGTGTGTTTGGCATACGATTAATCAAAATCTATTCACAGTTGTTTACTCATGCTCTGACTGGTGATGAGACTAATGATCTTTCACTAAAGACCTCCAACTGGTCAACAAATGGGCTCACCAGCTGGCCAGGGAGTTATTCTGTGGCCTCTGACTGGTTCTCCTGGTCCACACTGCACTCCTCGCTGGGCTCAAGGCTTCCTCGGTTGTGTCTAGAGCGTTTGTGCCTGTGTCTCCTGTGGCTATCTGCGTCATCACTATCATGACGCCTCCTACTGCTGCCACTAATGAGAGAGACGGAGAGAAGAAGGTCACATGATCTATATATATAACATTATATAGGTATTAGATGTGAGAAAATTACTTTTTTCCCTAATTAAGCGACAATATTTATTAATTCATATTAAATTAATTAATTAATGATTAAAATAATTAATCGGGTAGTTTTACAGTACCTGTAACAAAACAAAAAAATGCAATAAAATAAAAAATATTTTTACACCACTTGTTCTATGTAGAGAATAATATAATAAAATATAATTTATCTGAAAAATTATGGATGCTATTTATATAATCAAAATCAACATCAAATTTAGAAAAAGCTCTAAATAATGTCAGTATACAGAAATTATCTGTTGGAATAAATTCTGAATATGAGATTCAGCGATATTTGACTCCGAAACCGTGAATACAGATGACAGCTACAGGTCACTATGGTGTCAGTAGAGGAATTAAACCCATAACTAGACAGGATTAGAACAGAATATTATGAAATATATATCAAATGACTTTTTCTGCCTAACATCTAGGGCATTTTAGTCACCTTTGGTATTTTTCTTTTACTGTCCGGCACCCTGGTGAATTTTCCTGGCATTACCTGTGTGAGGATCTGTGTTGTTCATTCCTGTCCCGGTGTCGTCTTTCTCGATATCTGTCTCTCATTCCGTCTCTTCCTGAGCTTTCCCTGTACCTCTTGCTTCCATAATGACTGTGATCCCTGTGTCGAGACACACGCTCCTCCTCACTGCACACACATGTACAAGCACACTTATTAATTATGAGGAAATAATGAGTGCTTCAGTCTATTCTAAAACAGAGCGAGATGACTCGTTAGCTACATAGGTAGCTGCCTTTTAAGGCAGCATCCTAACTGTCAATGAACCTTACAAAAGTGATCATTTGGAATGCTCAACATAGGCTAAAACATTGTACGCCACACAAAAAACACTCTTCATGGCAACTGTTTTCAACAGAGTTTGTCTTTAGCATGTTGCTAATCTAATGAAGGAAGGAAAGGACGTGACATGTGGCCAAGTATGGTGACCCATACTCAGAATTTGTGCTCTACATTTAACCCATCCAAGTGCACACACAGCAGTGAGAAGTGAACAGACACACACACTGTGAACACACACCCGGAGCAGTTGAGGGTTGGTAATTCACTCTCCTCACCTACAATCCCTGCCGGACCTGAGACTCAAACCCACAACCTTTGGGTTACAAGTCCGACTCCCTAGCCATTAGGCCACAGCTCAAATGTTGAGTGGATTCCGATTGTTAAAATGTTCCACTTGTCAGGTATCATTTTATCATTAAGTACTTTATATTCCAATCTAAATAGTTGCAGTTTAAATGTAGCTTCCCCAACACTGTTAACATACACATATTATATAAGAATATATATTTTTGTGCATGTTAAGAGGGTCACTGTCAGACAGACACACTGCATTTCTCTGAAATGGCTCAACCTGCAGCCGTTATGATGTACAGTGCTCTAATACAGGGGTTCTCAAACCTCTCCATGAAGTTCCCACAGCACTGCACATTTTGTATGTCTCTCTATATCTGACACACCCACTTCAGGTCTTGCAGTCTCCACTAATGAGCTGATGAGTTGAATCAGGTGTGATAGATGAGGGAGACATACAAAATGTGCAGGGCAGGGGGTACTCCAGGACAGGTTTGAGAACCACTGCTCTAATGAATGCCTCCAAGTACACATTAACCACATTCTCTCTCTTTCTCTGTGCACATTCACACAGAAAAAGAAAGACAGAGAAAAGAGACAAACTCAATAACCTGATCACTCTGTCAGTAATTAGCAGTCAGTTGAAACTTCCGGCCCTCAGGTGCTGGGCTATAGATTAGTTTTGGAAACACTAATTAGCTGACAGGGGACAAAAGAGTTTGTGGTGACAGTGGTCACTTGTGGAGTGTGCGTGATCGCTCCACAAAGCCAAATGTTTTTGTTTCACTTAAAGGCACCATTCACCCAAAAATTAACATTCTGCTGCAATGATCCTTTTGGGTGAACTATCCCTTTACGTAACTTCCTCTTTGTAATGTTTCCTCTTTGTGCATTTCTCATAGTTAGTCAAATGATATCTATGTTATTGTTAGCAGCCGCTGCTGCAAGCCCAACATGAATCTGTGTATTATACATGCTGTGGCAAATTTTTCATGCCATTTATTAATAAGGATTAGAACCATATACATGTTCCTCTGGGACTTACAAATGTAATGTGTGTGTGTGTGTGTGTCATGCCAGCTGGACTGAAGACAGACCAGTCCTCTCTCTCTAAGCCACAGGAATGAGATCATATCTAGGGGACATGTGTTCACCAAATGTCCAACCAGTTGCTAAGAGCATTACCAATCAGATTAAAAGACAGATATATTGACCGAAGGGAAGGGCTAAGTGAGAAAAGAAGGAAAAAGTTAGTGTGGCAGATTGTCAGTGCAGGTGTTGTTGATATCTCTGTGTTTATCTTGCTCTTGAGTGCAGCCCTGTTTAACCTTTGGTGATCCTATCATGAGTGATCAGGCAAAACAAATTAATCATGACAAAGATACTAGTTTAATATTAAAAGAACTAAAAGAATCAATCAATCAATCAATCAATCAATCAAAAATATTTTTAAAAGTAATATAATTTGCCACAAATGTGATGTTTTGCGTGTAATTACTTACAGTACTTTTGTCAAATACATGTATTCAACTTAAAAATTAACTCTACAGTATATCTACATTTATTCATTTACTT